GACGACGTTTCGAAAGTTTTCCACCTGAAGACGAAAGGCGGAAAACTTTCGAAACGTCGTCTTCTACATTTGTAGTTTTCTACAACAGGCAGTTGCTGTCCGTTTGAAACTTAGATTCATTCAGACTTAAAATAATCTACTGCCGGGGACGTGTCTCCCAGACTCCCTGCTTCGTCTAGAAGTTCTTTTACTCTTCCCAGCAGTTGATATTTAAAAAGTTACTAGTTTTAGCTACTAGATGGAGACACTCGAATAAAATCTGTTTCCTTTCGGTTGAACGTTACACTTATTACATAAACGTAACTTTAATTTTTTGAAACACATACGATTTTTTCATAATCATAATATCGGCACATGCCTTCATGATTCACTTTCCAGTAAATAGTGAAACATCAAAAAAATACACCAAGAAAAACTGGGAATAATCTTTATAGTCTTAAAACTACATACTACAAAATATTTTCCAAGTATTTCATCGCTTTCTTAGCGGTATGTCTGCGGACTTACAACACTAGAAACCGGGTTTCGATACCCGTGGTGAGTAGAGCTTTGTGCTTAACTTCAAACAAACTACCTCGTCTGTTTTAATAACACACGTTGCCTTTATCCATCTAAAACTAACATCAGCCGTGGCGACTCGAGGATTCTGAAAGTGGGGTGAGAGTGAGGAGAGGCAGACAGATGAATTTGAGGCAAAGTTTTTAAATTTCATTTGTATTTTGAAAGGATAAAGAGATAAATTAGGAAGTCCTGATCATAAAGTACATTTGCTGCGTAGTGTGTGGGTTTTATTTGTCATTTTTTAAATCAATTCAAATTATCAAGTTGACTCACAATGAATAATTATCAAATGTTTCCATTTTTTATTCTGATTGGCTGCATATATAACAGGACTGAGGTTTTCTTGTCTACAGTTCCCTGATATCCGCGGACGTGGTATTCTGTAAGTTTTCAATTCTAGTAGAAATTTTGGGGAAGTGGACAAATACTTAGGGTAGCGCCCGCCACATCTCATCTCAACCCTAACGCTGTTACTGGACATCACCTTTAAAGACACCCATAACAGTGTGTTTCTGTGACACATACAGACGCGACAAAAGCTAGACTTTACATGAATTGTATTTCTATGTGATAACATTACACATAAGAAATTTTAACACAAGCTTCTAAATACGTCCCTAGATGGCGTGGTTCCAAAATGTATGAAACTGTTAGCAAGAATAATGAATATTACACAATGTTGTCAGAAGGCCATGCCAGTGCGTTAGGGGAGGCCTTAGTAATTCGTTATTCGAATTGTGATAAATAGCGTGCTTGACCACAGAGTAGGCTGACAGTGTGAGTTAAGACAACATCAGTGGCATTTGCCAGAAAAATAATTTAAGAATTATATAATCCAACTTTGAAAGTTATGTGTCGTAAAGCTCTAAAATTTCAACGATGCATATGTAAATCAATGATTTTAAAGTCTTATGAGTTAGAGCTTGCCACCTTATGGTTAGAATGTCAACATAAACCGCACCGATATACCAGGATTTCTCTTAGAGACACTTGGCATGGCCTGGTGGTTAGGGCGCGCGACTCGCAAGCTGCGTTCGTGAGTTCGAATCCTCGTCACCGAACACGCTCGCCCTTTATGACATAAGGGCGTTATGACGTTACGATCGATCCCACTATTCATTGTTAAAAGAGTAACCCTAGAGTTGGTGGTGGGTGGTGTTGACTAGCTGCCTTCCCTCTAGTTTATCACTAGTAAATTAGGGGATGGCTAACGCAGATAGCCCTCGATTAGTTTTGTGCGAAATTCAAAACAAACAAACGAATCTTTGAACGTATAAAGAGTTACCATGGATGCGTTATAAGAGTCATAGTCAAAGCACACTTTTCAATTAGAGTAGCCCAAGTGAGTGCCGTTGACTATTTGCCATCCCTTTTTATTTGCTTGTTTTGTTAAATTTCACACAAAACTACTCGAGAGATATCTACACTAGCCTTCCATAAATTTGACGAGATAGGCTAGAGGGAAGGCATTTAGTCAACATCACTCACTGCCGAGTCTTAGGCTACTCTTTTGCCAACGAATAGTGGGATTGACCGTTTTATCATAACTCTCCCAGGGCTGAAAGGGCGAATATGTTCGGCGACCGGTTTCAATTCCACAACACGGCAATTGCGAGTCGAGCAACCTAACCACCAGACCATGCCATCCTTATAGTCTTATCAGTTCAAAACTAGGGACGGCTGGCGGAGATAGCCCTTGTGTAGCTTTGCGCTAGTATCTTAAATAAAGTTTATTTCATTATTTATTTGATTAATATTGTTAATTCTTTAACTACAAGAACATGATTTCTTACACATGTTATATGTTGCCCATGTTATTCATGATTGTTCACTGAATGTTTATGTTTTCGAGACCACTGAGAGAGAATGGTTGAGTTTCTGTGATAATTGTTTATTTGATTCATTCTCCTCAATTATTGTTTTATTTTCCTTTTGTGCTACCACCCGGACCGGATAACTACGTAAGCGTTTTTTATGTAGTGTCATTCGTTTTTTTTAATAACATACACTTGATAAATTTGACTTTATACAGCACGAAATACTTCTTTTAAATTTATGCTGAATTTTTTTACCATCATTCTCCAGTCGCTGTTTCCTTTGACTTAATGGCTGACCCCCGAACTAAACAGAATTAGTATACATTTTAAATGTAATATTAACTATGTGGTATTATTATTTTAATATATATATATTTTCTTTAGTTAATTTTTGCGAGCATTTTGATAATTAAAGGAATGATATCAACTTACTTATTAGAACTTAATAATTATGTTTGTTTTTTATAAAAAGCTTTGCAAACTAGGATTTAATATTGCGCTTATAATTTTAATAAAATTATATTCCTTGTCGTTGAACAAAACTCACTAGTTAAAAATTAAACTTTACCACTTTTAGATTTGTCAAGAACAACACAGTTTTATGCTGGATTATTCACTTATGTCTTTCAGATGTTTAAATATTTGAATGAAAATTAATACAAAACACGAATAGATATACAAAAGATTTACTGTGAAAGAATACCTATACTGAAATGCTTCACACGTTTTCTCTATTTTTTATTTTAAATTTAAGATATAATTTCAGGTCCTCCACCGCTTATCACCCCGCCACCACCAGGTCCAGGAGGAGGAATCTTTAAAGGTGTGTTAGTTTATTTAAATTTAAAATAATTGTTTGGAACTTTCTACCTGTAACCAAAACTTTCTGTATTGGGATATGTTTTCAATAATGAAAGTAACAATATAATTATCTTCCCTCCCCTGTAACGTTAATGACAACTATTTCTAAACTAGCATTGTTATCTTTGATACAAGAATTAGGCCTTTGTAGTGGAACAAAAGTGATTGTTTTTAGTTCTTAAGACGTTTTAATACAAAAAGCTATTTACAGTTATTTTAACTGATGAAATAATATTATACAACATTTCATTGCTGGGGATATGTATACTATTGCTCTCTTATTGGAGGCTCAGCGGTGAGCTCTTCTAACACTGAATTTCAGGATTTTGTCTCTGCCGTGGCCACAACCCGCTGTGTAGCTATGCGCTCAACAACCAACAATGCATACTTCTTCAAAATCGACTACTACTGCCATCTATTGAGTGAAATTAGTATTTTAAATTCAAGCATGTAACTTTACAACTAGATAGCTTGTTTTGAATGACACCAGTACGAGTATACATCTTAATACTTTTCGTTATTCCCCTTACAACTTTTTTTTCAAAAAATGTTTTATGAAAAAGCTCAAAGTTCGTTATCTTAGAGATAATTTTGAAATTACAAAATCAACTTTTGTTGTTGGAACTTTCACTACAGAGACGTCTAACCTTTTCATTCCTTAACGTGAACTAAGGCTCTTAATACTGCTGAGAGTCTTTGAAGTGTTTTTTTTTAATGTAAAGACGAGCTAAAAATTCTAAAAAGAAGATGCAGTAAAAGCGTAAAAAAGACGTGTGTGTGTAGTGAAACCTTACCCAATGTGTGTGTATAGCATATACATATATATAGTAAGGACAGATAATAGACAGCAGAAACCAGAATTTATAAACTAGAAATATCGTACTCTGACCTTTTCCATCTAAAAAACTTGCAGAGGTTGGACCTCCAGGTCCATCGGGACCACCAGGACCAAAGGGAGAACCCGGTGAAGACGGATTACCAGGTCTCAAGGTAAGTCGCATACGGTACATGTATTGCTTAACTGTTCTACAAAGATTTAGTATGCAATATAATAGTTGGTAAAAATGTGGTAAAGATGTTAAAGTAGAATGTGTTTTTGATTTGTAAAAACGCTAAGTAAATGTTAGAAAAATGATAGTATATCTTCAGAAATTTGACCTCTAGTAGTGCAATCTGTACTTTTTACATTTCACAAAGAAAATGCACATAGTATATTTGGTTATCCTATTAATCGGTAACTTTTAAGTCTAGGTTAGTTTAGAGCAGCTTGATAGGGCCATGCGCTTACATCTTGTGTATCGTTGGTCGTGTTAAAACATACTTCATTTTATGAATAATCGTCGTCTATTAAATGTTCCATGAACATATGTGACACCAGTCAATAAAGTTAAACAGCACTAGAGTTTGTTTAATTTACATTTATTATAAGAAGTTTTGACCAATGCTTTCCAGGGTGAACCCGGACGAGTGGTCCCTGCTTATACTCCAGTGACTGTGATAAAAGGGGACAAAGGAGTTCAAGGAGAAGTTGGGTTGCCTGGTCAGCGGGGTTTCAAGGGTGAAAAGGTCAGTCTGTGCCTCAAAGGCATGATGAAATATTTTTTGTCTGGTGATCGATAACAGTATCTACAACAAATAAGCTGTCAATTTAATGTAAAATTGTTAAAACCGTGACATTTGAACAGTGTCAGCCTCAAGCACAAACAAGGCCAAGAGTGGTCTTGTAATGGCTATAGCGTTCTCAGACTATTTATCAGAGGGTTCATGGTTCCTGTCCCATTTGTGAAAACATTCACTCCACACTTTAAGGCTGTAGGTGTACTTTAAGAGTTACAGTCAAATCCTACTTTTCAATCAGGTAACAGTGGTGGAGGGTGTTGTTCACTAGCTACCTTCTTCTTATCTGTCAGTTCATAATTAGAGCTCACTGTTGACACAGCTGTAAGTCTGAAGGTTTATAACATCAAAACTCATGACGTCTTTAACAACTGAACTGGTGTTGCTTATGAAGTTGAGTCTCGTTTAATGATAATCAAACTCATGATGACCTTAGCAACTGAACTGGTGTTGCTTACAAAGTTGACTCCCGTCAATATAGAAATGTATTACCTAATAAAATTTCGTTATTCCTTTTTCAGTTTTGTTTTTTTACATATAAACACCAGCAATTACCAGATCAATTTTGACATGTGTTTTATCATTGGTTTTTAACTGTGAGAATATTATAGAAATAATGTTCCAACTCCTAAGAAGCATGCATTGCATTTAGTTAAAGGTTTTTTAGTTGATTGTAGAGTTATGACAAACCAAAGCTCTCCATAAATTAGTCTTAGTTGTCTGTGTAATGTTAGTTATATTATCTAGTTTGACAAGAGATTACTGCAAGAACATAAATAAAGATATTGAATGATTTTAGGGTGAGTGTTTGATTGGCCCACCAGGACCTCCTGGACCAGCAGGACCACCTTTCACGCACACATTTGGAAGTGGATCTGGTGGTTGGAACCCCATCGATCTTGGAACAGAGGATCAGGATAGTTTTGTAAGTTTAGTTTTAATATCAAGTTCAGTGAAACGTACATGTTACTGTTACAAATGGATCTGGTGGTTGGGGTCCAATAGATAATGGAACAGAGGACCGTGGTAGTTTTGTAAGTTTAGTTTTAATATCAAGTCCAGTGAAACGTACATGCTACTGTTACAAGTGGATCTGGTGGTTGGGGTCCAATAGATATTGGAACAGAGGACCGGGTAGTTTTGTAAGTTTAGTTTTAATATCAAGTTCAGTGAAATGTACATGTTACTGTTACAAGTGAATCTGATGGTTGGGATCCAATAGATGTCGGAACAGAGGACTGGGGTAGTTTTGTAAGTTTAGTTTTAATATCAAATCCAGTGAAACATACATGTTACTGTTACAAGTGGATCTGGTGGTTGGTGTCCAATAGATATCGGAACAGAGGACCATGTGAAAGATAACGATAATTATCAAATAGAAACATTTGTTAACACATACACGTTTACTTGTTTGTTAGTACCTTTGTAACTTTAATAAAATTAAAAACTGTATGTGAAAGATAACCATAATTAATAAATTAGTTTAGTTTCCACTTCTTAGAAAATTGTGAAAAAAAAAAACTACACATTTCCTCTTGATATATAGTCAAAGAATTAAGAACGTTCAGAGTATGTTACATATAACACTGTTGTTTGTTTGTTTTGGAATTTTGCGCAAAGCTGCATGAGGGCTATCTGCGCTAGTTGTCCCTAATTTAGCAGTGTAAAACTAGAGGGAAGGCAGCTAGTCATCACCACCCACCGCCATCTCTTGGGCTACTCTTTTACCAACGAATAGTGGGATTGACCGTCACATTATAATGCCCCCACGGCTGAAAGGGCGAGCCTGTTTGGTGTGACAGGGATTCGAACCCGCAACCCTCAGATTGCGAGTCGAGTGCCTTAACCACCTGGCCATGCCAGGCAACACTGTTGTATAAATATTACACAATGTTTTTTCATCTTCAGTTAAACTACCTTTATCAATTGATTTAATCTATATGCTGATTCATTCCATGATATCCATTTTAAGTATGTTTCCTTTTACAGCAGTTTGGAAGAGGGTTAGAAGGACCACCTGGACCTCAAGGACCACGTGGACTACCTGGTCTACCATGTACTTGTAACATCTCTTCCTCTCCTGTAGCTGGACCTCGTGGGTTTCCAGGTTCTCCTGGTAGAGATGGTCAAAATGGATCTCCAGGGATGCCGGTATGATAATGCCAAATGACAGTCAGAAAATATTGTCACGCTGTAATTAGTTTTTTATAAAAAAATTTAAATATTTTATCGCATTTTAATTTAAAGATGATGTTTTGAAACTTGAACTACTGTTTATTACATAATGTTTAGTGTACTTTAACACTTTTTTTTGCTAATATTCTATACTGAAATGAGCAAAAAAATGTCACATTATAAATATTTTTTCTGTAAATAGTTCCTACTTGTTGAATGGACTATAATTAAGAGTTTAGGATGAGAAAGTCTCAACTCTTTCTATATTTAGATGTTATAGTTCATGTAACAGGTTTTCTGGCTATTATAACCATCATTAGGATAATACATCTGTTGATGATAATGTATATCATTCTTAATTTATTTTTAAACTTTTGAGATAATAAATGATCTTTTGTGGATCAAACTTTTTTCCTAAAGATTTATTGCTCTCCTCCATGGGTCAGCAGTGACTGTCTGGACTTGCAGGGTTAAAATCCTAGGTTCAATTCTTTGTGGTGGATATTACGTAGCTACAATACCTGATTTAATATCTCTAGTGATAAAAAAATGTTGAAATGAAATACTCAAATCGTCAACCCCATCAGAAGTAAAAGTTATGTAGCTATGGGTCATATTGGAGTCTATTTTTGAAACTGTAGTTATTTATTTTATCTAAGGTATTAGATACTGCAATACAGTGATGACTTTCATGATGGCCAGGTTAAAGGTCTGAATATTTCATTTAGAGATATTTTGCCACTAAGATAGAGGGTTTAGTTTTCTTTGTAAGCCTAAAATCTCTATATCTGGTACCATCTGTATATTTTGTTTTAATATGCATAAAACATTTTTTTTTCAAGGGCATGCCTGGCTCTAAAGGGGTGACAGGACAAATAGGACCGCCAGGGGAGAAGGGAGACAAAGTAAGTTTCTGTAAAGATTGGAAGGTATAATTTGAGATATAATAAGAAAGTTACATTTCTAAACTTAGTGGAAATAAAGTATAATTAGACATTTTAACACTGGACCAAATTTTTTATAGTAGCCACTTAATGATTCTGGTCATCCTTATTGAATCTAATGGTAGAATTAAAGTTAAATACAGTAAGTAACATTTATATATGATAGTGATACAGCTTTAATTAAGAGGACAACTATCGGAACTGTTACCAGTTTTCTTTAATAGTTTCAATATATGTTTACTCTCTGCATGATTGGCTGGTACTATCTTTACAAGTTTCTAATGACGGGAACCTACTATTGATAGATATGGTACTTTCCTCACCAGTTTGTAATGAAAGTAAACTACTGTCAGTTGATATCAGTAACAGATCTAGGGAGTCCAGGAGGCTTAGACCCTCTTTTCCAATATATAATAAAAAACAATCTAGGAAAAAAATGAAACAAGATAAAGAGAAAAGGTAGAGATTCAAGTGCTCGAAAAATTATTTATTTGGTTTCTAGGATTATTTATCATTTCATTCCTGTATGGAAAGTGAGTCGGAACTGTCACTACATGTTAAAGCTTAAAGATAGCTGTAAAAGGTGTTTTCTTTCAAAATATTATGAACAGTTTAAAATTCACCAAACATATGTGAAGGAGCCCTTTTCATTGGTATGACTGTCAAATGTTCCATCCTTCTCTGTAGTCTATCAGTAAATAATGCTTGAAACTGATCCCTGGGGTCATTTCAAGATCCTGATTCTAACCGTCAGCTCCACAAATGAAGGAAGGGGTGGTCTCGATGGTAGCAGAAAGTATCGATCATTCAGATTTCTTATTGCTAACTTGGTAGGTGGGGGGTAGCAGAAAAAATCAATGGAAAGTTATTATTAGAAACTGGAGAGGAAAGTTCTATTATTAGAAACTGGAGAGGAAAGTTCTATTATTAGAAACTGGTGAGGAAAGTACTATTATTACAAACTGGAGAGGAAAGTTCTATTATCAGAAACTGGAGAGGAAAGTTCTATTATCAGAAACTGGAGAGGAAGTACTATTATTAGAAACTGGTGAGGAAAGTATTATTATTAGAAACTGGTGAGGAAAGTATTATTATTAGAAACTGGTGAGGAAAGTATTATTATTAGAAACTGGAGAGGAAAGTTCTATTATCAGAAACTGGAGAGGAAAGTACTATTATTAGAAATTGGAGAGGAAACTACTATTATTCAGAGGCAGATCCACGATTTTCAAAAAGGGTGCCAGTCCAAAGGAAAGGATATCAAAGAGTCATCCAAGGGGAGAATCTGAAAGGCAGATTTCCCTCTCTGAGAAACTGAAGACACTAAGGCAATTCCTGACATACTTTCCAGTTTCTGTTGAAAGAAAGGTTACTATTATGAGTGATGATATTTTTCTCTTCAATTTCTAATGAAGAGATTTACTGGTGAGGGGTAGTGTTCCTGAAAATGACGTAAACTATAAAAGTGGTTTAAAGTAAGTGAAAGATCAAGTTTTTTAACATACTTTTTATCAGTAGTTATAAGTGATGAGATTACATGAAAATCTCGTAATCTGTGTAGTTAACCCGTTTCAACAAATGACTTTTGTTTGTTTTTCTATAGCTGTGCCGTCACATTATCCTTATTGTTTATTTAATTTAAATCTGTGTTTTTGAAAGTTAAAAAGTTTTCTCTATGTCTGATATTAGGGTGAATCAGGACTCAGTGGACTACCTGGTATACAAGGAAAGAAAGGGGAGCCAGGTGTAGAAGGATTACCTGGATCACCTGGACCTCGAGGATTTCCTGGTCCTCCAGGTCCTCCTGGACCCCCTTCAACTCCAGGAAGTATTTTTGATGTATGACTATTCGATATTTTTCTGTCGAAAGAGTCACATTCTTAAAGTTGTAAACTTGGTTGTTTTTTATAATAAATATATAGGTCGTCATAATTTGAAGAGTTATAATGTTAAATACTCATGAGAAAAATTAACATTTATATTCTATAAATATTAGACAGTGAAGTATCTTGATATTAAAAGAGTTATGGTTTAAAATTATCATAACAGTCTTTTTTACAAAGTGTATTCAAAAATTACAGTTACTGAAGTGTGGTTACATTGAAGCAGTTATGGCTTATGTTGTTGTTAACAATCTATTAGACAAAGTTTGCTTGGTAAAGAACAGGTATTGAAATATCAAGACACTGAAAGAGTTTTGATTTAAACTGTCAATAACAATCTTTTAGATCAAGTGAGCTTGATAAGTGATGGCTACAAATATATCTTAACATTGAAAGAGTTATGATTTAAAGTGTTAATAACAATCTTTTAGATCAAGTGAGTTTGATAAATGATGGCTACAGATATATCTTGACATTGAAAGAGTTATGATTTAAAGTGTTAATAACAATCTTTTAGATCAAGTGAGTTTGATAAATGATGGCTACAGATATATCTTGACATTGAAAGAGTTATGATTTAAAGTGTTAATAACAATCTTTTAG